CAACAGCCGTCGGAATACGACTCAAATAGCACCATAATAAACTTCTATAACTCCACACAAAAAAAACTACAATAATACCAAATAACAGCAATAATATCAAATAACCTCAATAACTCTACAAAAAACACCAATACGACATTAATAACATAAAAAAAAAACTACTATAACATCATAATAACACTAGTCGAAAATAACACAACAGAGCCACCACAAAACCACTCATATAAAATAAAAATAACACATCAATAACACCATAATAATATTGAAATAATATCACAATAATATAATAATAATACTAAAATAACACCATTAAAAAATACCACCACAGTCGTCGCAATGCCACTCAAATAACACTAAAATAAACATCAATAACACATCAATAACACCGCAAAAAAAATCTCAATAACACTAGTCCGAAAAAAACAAAAAACGCAATACCACTCAAATAATATTGCAAAAAAACCACAATAATACCACCATCGCCGTAATATCACTCAAATAACAACACAATAAACCTCAATAACTCCACAATAACACCGAATTACCTCAATAATTCCACAAAAAACACAATAACGCCACACCCACTGCAATATCACTCAAATAAAAATATAATAAACTTAAGTAACACCTCAATACTCCACAAAAAATTACAATAACAACAGCCCATAAAAAAACTATAATATCACTCAAATAACACAACAAAAAAACTGCAATAACACCACAACCACTGTAACACCACTCAAATAACATTTCAATAACTTAACAAAAAGACTGCAATAGAATTTTGAAGCAATGGGTTGGTTCGGGCCGGGTCATACATTAAAATAAAGCGCTTTTTCTTTTTTTTTTCAGTGAAACCACGACTTACATATAACAACACATGAAAAGTTTTTATTGGATTCTGGACAGCTTTGCGGCGGAGTCCAGACGTAGTATTTTTTTTTCAAGGTAGGAAGGGCTAGCAAGCCTACTTCCTCCGTCGGCTCCTTCCCCTACCAATGTACTTACCCCTCTCGAGAGAAGGCAAGGCCTCTCCTTAAGAGGAGAAAGTTGACTCCCTCGACGAGGAACTTGACGAGGCGGAAGAGGTGACTTGGCTCGTCTTGTCTCTCTTAGATAAGGGAATGAAAAAAGAACCCTTGGCCTAAGGGTCTGACAAAGCAGCAATACCCGATGACGCACTTGCTGGCACGCTAGCAGCAGGATAAGGGGGAGGAGTGCCCACAGCTCTATCGAAAGTCCCTTCAGAAACATACTCCCTCTCGCCACCTTCACATGCATTAACAAAGTGAGAAGAATGTTTTCGAGAAATAGTTGTGATCTTTTCAGTCACTTGGTCTTGAATAACAACGCTATGATCAAACTGAGAGAGAAGATATCTCGAGGCCATATTGTAAGGGAGCGGGTCCTCATCTCCTACAGGATTACCTAACTCTGTGGGATGCTTCTACCTCCTAAGTTTGTTGGAAAGCTTCTTCTTCGCTGCCCTTGCTCGGATTTCTTTTTCAATGTCAGAAAGTCATCATTGTTCCTTGGTGATCTCGTCTGCAGCACACGGATGACAATTAGCTTGGTGGTGTACTGTGGGACTAAGAGGTAATGACCAGTCAACATTGTCCTCTCGAATTTTGTTCTTTTCGGGAGAGACCAGCATGCACATTGTTTGTTCTGACGACTCGGTCTAGATACCTCATGGGCCGAAACGAGAGTCGACCATATTTTTTTTCTTCCAGTCCTTTATTTTTTTCTCTACTCTGAGCAAGTGAAGTTCATTGCCCGTAGAGAACATGATGAATTCCTCCTTATCGACTTTGAATGAAAAGAAATGTGTAACTAGTTTGATTAACCATGAGATGCATTCTCGATGACAATATAGGCCAAAGGTCATCACGGTAGCTATGGACTTTAGCGATATATGTGCTGAAATAACTCCATATGTGTTGAAGATGCTCTGGAGCTTGCCACACAAAGGTAACCAAAGGCCGTATTTGAACTGATCCCAACAGAAGACCAAATCTCCACCCATAGCGTCCATCGCCTTAGCTGACCTCAACAACTTCCAAAGGGTGATGTTGTTGTGCATAACATACCTCCTCCAACTCTTTCGCCTCATTCTCTGTCAAGAATGAGTGATCGGCGCCCTTGACCGAGCCAAAGTGGGTGGAAGATTACTTCGGGGTCATCTTAGAAATCAAAGAACAGTCAAGACGCCAAACAAGGAAATAAAGGGAAATCAAAGGCTCAGAAGCAGTAACCTAGATGGATAAAGTAAGAAGCAACGATTATATACCCTATTTATAAAATGAACGTGTAAAACAAGGCATCACATAATGATAAATATCACACCAAACGTCTTTTCAAATTTATTTAAAATGTCATTTCATTTCCAGATAACATTATTACTCGTCTTAAATAAAATGCTTTTTGAGCAGGTCTTCCAAAGCCTCAAGCAGGACGAGCCCTTTCTGTGTCAACCTTCATAGCACTATCGCCTCACCTATCCTAAGTTGTTCCATTCAATTTGCCTTATAGTGGAATTTTGATAGATTAGTCAACTTCCGAAGTGCTCTCGGCTCACGCAACACCTTGGCTAGACCATCCTGCAAAACAACAACCTCCACCTGCAGGGCCGCAACAACCGAGCCCACTAACATTGGAGGGACTAAAACCTTCTGCACATGATCAGTAATTGAGCTCCAACTGATCCCGCCGATTAACTGAACCTCACCACCAAGGACTCGACCCTCCCCCCCTCTCTGTTTGTTGCCCCACGGCTCCAAGGGAAGACAACCAATGCTCCATTAGTTCTTGTCCAATACCATCAATGGGCAAAAGGAGCAAATGACTGGTATCCTCCCGAAATGACTGCCGGCATACCTCCCATGAGCTCGACCTGCAGACCGGCCGCTGCAGTAATAGACCCTACAGTGTCTTTCAATATGAGAAATGTCAATGACTCATATCCCCTGACTTAGCCAATTCATCTGCATATGAGAAATGTCAATGTGCTATTAAAGATCGGCAGTAGCCAAAAAAAATATTTACGTACTCATAAATCTAGCTATTGAGAAGATGATCTCCAGACATCTTCCCTTTCTTTTGTTGTGAGGTGCCTTCACCTTCTTGTAATAGCGACTGAGGAGAGATACTGATCCTGGCTCTCTCCGGCCTTTTTTCATCCTCTTCGATGCCTTCGATGAGCAAGGCTTGCAAGCCCCCAAAGCTCGCACCCATGCCCAGCTCAAGAATCACTGTCTCCTAATGAGGAACCTTTGACACTTGCCCCTCAAGGTCTCTAAACGAGTTGACTTGATCACCCAACATAGGTTTGGTTCTCGACCACTTTTCTTTCCTAACTTTGATCTTCTTTACAGAAGTCGAGAGCATGTAACCCACCTTCGTCAGAATCTTGGGATCTATATGGATCTCCCTCAAATCATTGGCCATAACTCAAATCGGTTGATCAAGGAAAAATGACAACAACGGATGCAATGCCCAAACTATGACTATTTATAGGGTCTATTGGGCACATAATCTGAGGGGAGTTGATTATTAAATTAAATTTCTTGATTTTTTAGTACCATTGAATACTAATAATTTTCTTGTCTTTAACATAGTTGTCACTTTCAAGAAGCAGAAATTTGAGGAACTAATATGTAGACACCACAACTGTCGGCATGAATCTCAAAACATTCAAATGACCCACACAACAGTCAGACAACCAATGTGACATCTTTGAACGACAGACCACGCTGATAATCCAGACCGACCTGGGCACTAACAAGAATCCTTGATCGTGACTAATCGATTGACCCAACTTTACCGCGGTGGATGAGATCGAAATTCTAGCAGAAATCTCAGCCAACCGACACATACTTCAGAAGGCATAGCTACCACTCAGTCGGTCGCCTCAATCGACCAAATTCAAGCAAGTCAGCTAGTCAATCGCCGCCATGTTAAACTTCATATTGTAATATAGATATAATATGAAATTCATATGATAAAAAAAAAAAGTATTCATTGTATTAAGAACTATTTCCATAGTCGTTCCTTTCTGTAATTGTACGAAGTCACTTTTATAAATAGAAGGCAAAAATACGAATAAAAGGACGGCTCTTAGGCTCTCTCTACAATGAATTCTAAACTTATTCTACTCTCTTTTTCCTCTTTCGTCCAGTCCTAACTCTCGGAGCATGTTCACAAAAGACAATTTAGAATCCATCTTTTTTGTAAACCTATAACAAGTTAACCTTTACTAGCCTTTATAAATTTTATTTTTTGTTAAATATAAAAGTTTAAATATGAATCAAATTTTATAAATTTAAGTTTAAAGAACTAAAATGGTTCTTTTGTGCTTTCGTAAATTTTATCTAATTATGCAATGAAACTGCTAGATAAATTTATTCCATCCGATTATCTATTCCTATCTTAGTAATTCTAAGTGCTAAGCCGAGCCGTGACAACTGGGGTTATATAGAAACGATCATGCGTGGAACTATTTTACTTGGGAATCATTCATGCGTGGATCAAAGTTTGCCCTTCTTCATGTTCAGTCTAATCGAGCAATTTTGTTGGAGTGTTCATTCATTTAGTACAATATATTATGGATGGGAAATACAAGAGAGCATAAAGTGGATAAGTCGAAGTAGGCATTTTTAAAACTTGAATCAAAAAAAGAAAAAAAAAACAAAATGGAGGAATTATTGGGTTATCCTTTAATTGACCATACTAAAAATTTAACTAAACTTTATCTTTGATCAACCCAAACATTGACATATTAAACACTCTGAATTTGCAATACTTTACACCCAAACTAAAACCAAACGGCTTTTAAATCTCCATTGAGCACAGCTCAAAAGCTAAGCATCCTCTAGCGAGGTTTACCACCAACCATATCCTAAAAGCCAAAAACATTCGTTATTCAGTAAAATGGCCGTTCTCATAAACAAATCATTATATATATAATATATATATGTATATGAATGATTAAACCAGAAATTACTCGTAAAATTAATAATTTCATTCAACAGAAGTTAGAGATCATGTACCTAGTAAATTATCTACAATATAAACTCAATTGCTCAAGCCAATTTTTCAAATTTTGAAGGCGAGCAATAATATAAATAAAAACTAAAAGATCACCAGACCTGCGCCTGAACTCCATCACGAAGCTGCAGGCTTCTATGCTTTTTTAGAATCTTCAGCGTTGAATTGCTGCTTTAACATTCAGCAGTGTCAGATCATTAGAGCTCAGAAACGTCCAACTTGCAGGGTAATGTTATTGGCTGCGTCTGCTTTAATATCACATTTCTGGAGTGTATGACTAACTTTATACCATATCTGCTGCGCTACTTACGATATGGTGCTGAAGCTGAGGCTTCTGAGTTTCTAGAACTCTTTGCATTGCATAAGCACACCTAGAAATAATGAAAAAACTTGTAAATTATAAAAGAAAACTATTTGATGGTAAAATGGAACAAAAGTTCAACAAATTTTAATCAATTTAAAATAACCAAATTCGTAAAATGCTTAAGAAAATATGTTCCAAAAGTGGAATAACCAATTTCGTAAAATGCTTAAGAAAATATGTTCCAAAAGTGATTTTTGTATTAAGATTTAATGAAGAATATAAAAAATAATATGGTGTTCATTATATAAACCTTACTGATTCAAGAAAGCCATATATTCAAGTACCACAGAAATTAATTTGGACTACTAATGTAGAATATCAAGTAAATTATCATGACTCTACTATTAAATCAATACCAAAAATCTAAAGATGAAACAAATGGCTTTAAAACCCCCGCCATAACATCAAGATCAAAAATTAAGGGCCAAGAGAACATCATCAATAATATATTATTAAAAAAGCTTTCATATTGAAAGAAATGAAAGTTTATGTGTAAATAAAGTTGCAAAAAAAAAACTAATATTAAAATAATTTTATGCATATGGGCTAGGTGGAAAGGCTCATAAATGTAAAGAAAATATTTGTAGGTTATACTCAAAGTAGATGGTAAGAATCAAAGATGTTTAGAGGTGGAGAAACAAGCAAACCTACATTGACAAGAGCCCTAATTTAAATAACATGTTCAATAGGGTCTTCGGAATACTTTTGCAACTATATGGCTTGAGAAATGCTTAAAGATGATTCTAGAAATGTGGAGAAATATCCTATAAAAGATTGACAAAAAGTTCAATAAATAGAAGAGAGATACTTAGATCTTCACCAAAAAGAATTTTGATTACAATGTAATTTGAAATGTATTCAACTTATACAGGCTTCACAAATTCCATCTTTTATTATTTTAACAACTATTTCAAGTTAATATTAGTTTTTTTTTTTTTAAAGAATCATTATTATTCAACGAAAGTCTTATCATAAATTAGGGATCGAAAAAAATTTGAAAAAAAAAATTAGCTCGAGTATGATGATGAATAATAATTCTTTGAAAGGTGATCAATAATATGCCTTTGTTTTAAAAGTGTCTGATAGTATGCCTTTGTGTTTAAAAATAACTGATAGAGGGAATTTAATTAAAAAAATGATTGATGGCGTGCTTTTGTTTTTAAAAATACCCAATAGTGGATCTTTATTTTAGAAAATAGCCATTGATGTGCTTATTTTTAAAAATCTTTTACTTCTATTTACACTTACTTCTTGTTAAAAATTCAATAATTAAGTTATGATTAATTTATTTGCTTAGTATAAATTATTTTAATATTCAAGTTAAAGACATCTGATTAAAGAATTTCAATTATTTATATGATATTATGAAGTGTTTAGTGTAATAGTTTAGTAAATGAACAGTTAGTTGAAAAAAAAAATTCCAAAAATTGATATTGATAAGCTTTCTGCTGACCCTGAGATTTATCATTTTATATGAAGGTATGATGTTAATGATAGTATGAAGAGCGAATTTGCTCAATGGAATGCATCAACCATTAAATTATAATTTTTTTCAAAAAATGATGAGTGACATTGCACTAAGATTTAGTTCAAAATGATTTCAGAAGTATAGCGTACAAGATGCAGCTTATTATTGCTATTTTTATCTGTTTAAGAATAAAAAATATGTTGTTAAGAGTAAAAAAGATGAGAAATTCATTTGTTAGTGAACGATTTAAAAATTTGAAGAAAAAAGAATAACTTTTAATTCACCTTGGTGATCAAACAATGCTCAAAATAAGACAAGACAAAAATATGATGATATAATAAAGCCTAAATTACATAATGTTTCTACCATGTGGTTAAATAAGGATGAGGAATAAAAATTAATATAGAATCATGTTGATTGCAGATGTTGATTGTGTTCGATTTCTTCTACCACAAAAGTTATCATTTCATGAGTATGATAAATCATATGAATCAGCTAATCAAGAAAAATATTTGAAGTTGTTTCATTTTCTTGCGAATCGTAATGAAAAAATTTTAAAAAAAATTATATTTGAAAATATTAATACAAAATTACAATTGACTTCACAAAAAATTCAAAAAGAACTGTCATGTTGAAGCAGCTGAGATCTTAGCTTCTATAATGAGAGCTATATATGAATCTTATTTCTCATTCAGTCTCACGAAGCGTCAATGAAAGAATATTTGGTTGGTGCAGTGAAATATATTGATAACAAATGAATGAGTTAATAAAAAATTTATTAGTGTTAAACATATTTCTTCAAGAGCTTTAGTTGCACTCAAAGTAAGCTTGAATCCATACTTGCAAAATATTCATTAAGCTTACACAAGATACGTGTTCAAGGCTATGACAAACATCCATAATGCGAGGTAAGTTCAATAACTTCCATGCATCCATTTTTAGTAATAATCCTCAAGTATTTTATGTCCATTATTTAGCTCATCAACTTCAGTTATGTTAGGTGGCTACACTAAAAATCATTTACAAGTAAAACAACTTTCTGAGTTCACTTCAAAAAATCTTAAACGATGTTGGAATTATTTGTAGGTGTAGTGACACTCTTAAAATCATTCAAAATGAAAAAAAAAAATCTTTTGCATCTTAAAGATGAAGATTTAATCAGTGGGGTGTGATTTGAACTAAGTAACTATTTTGTAACGAGCTGATGACATCCATTGGAACTCATATTTTTATACTTTAATTAGTCACAAAAAAATATATGCATCCGTACTTAATGTGTTTGAGATTCTTAAGGAGAATATGGTGCATTGCCAACAAATCAGCTGAAGCGGTTGTTTTAATCGATTCAATAGAAAGTTTAGATTTTGACTTCATAATGCATTTGATATTGATATTTTAGGACTTACAAATAAATTGTCACAGTTAAAAAAAAAAGATCAAGACATTATAAATATAATGAAGACGGTTAATGTGTCTGAAAAGGGGCTCAAGGGGGAGACAGAGAACTGGTTGGGCATGGCTGAACCGGTTAAGCAAAGGAGTAGGAGGTTGGCTAGCCCTTTGCCGGTTTATGGTTGCCGCCCAAGGGGAGGGTCTTCCCCCTCCGATTTATTACCGTATATAATTTTTTTTCTCATATTAGAGTTCAGTTTTTGCTTCATATATTTCTGCTGTCAGCAACTTTTTCTCTTGCTAGGGCTATATCCGAGGACAGGTGGTGCTCCGGCTATATCCTGCTCCAAAATGGTGATTACCTTCACATATCTCCTCCGCTTTTCTCATGCCTGCATGATGTCACCCACCATGCAAGCCAAAGTTATTGTTGCAGCTTCTTCCATCTCTTCCAAACTTGTTTTCGCACCTCCCTCATAGCCCCCCTACTGCTACCGCTTCGGCTATTCCTTCTGACTTGCTACCGCACCTTCCCTGCAGCCATTCTGCTAACTTCCACCACTATCTAGTTTTCCATATCTGCTATACAGCCACCCGCCTACCTCCGCCTTGCTGTCGTCGGTCCTTCCCTCACCCACAATTCCCCGATTCTTTATCCTGACCCGTAGCCCACCACTTTGTCTGCAGCCCTAAGGAGTCGCTTGCTTTTGTGTTGTTGTATTCCTATCTTTTAAGAATCTTTGCTTATTTCATCCACCCTGCGCACAATGACTGCTATTGCAGCTTCTTCCATCCCTTCTAGACTTGCTCCCTCACCTCCCTCACAACCCGCCTACTGTTGTCGCTTCCCATAGTTCCTCCAGACTTGAACGGCACCTTCCCTACAGCCAACCTACAAACTTCCCACCTACCTGGCTTTCCTACACGCTGTCCAGCCACCCGCCTACCTCCACCTTGTTGTACCAGTCCTTCCCCTCACCCACAACTCCTCGATTCCATTATCCTGACCCTCAGCCCACCACTTCGCCCTCAGCCAAAGAGCGTCGCTTATTTTTGTAGTGTTGTTTTCCTATCTTTTAAGAGTCTTTGTTGTAACCATTTTAATTTTCAACAATAAAAATTTTTTTCCATTATTGTTAAGATTAACTCTAGAGCTAGCCTACCTTAGTACTATCCAAGGATTTTCTAGCATCCGCCATACCTAAGCTACCTCCACCAAAATTTTTCCATCTTATTCTCAAATGTCTTCTTCCAACCCTCAAACCCTAGCCATTCCACCAAAGAGACACATGTTAGAACCTACACTGGAAGAGTTACAAGAAGAGATTCATCGACATCAGCAGATACATGCAAAGATTGATAACAACACCCAAGGGGAGATTACCCTTGACCATGACACGGAGAGTCGAAGGGGATAAAGGGACGTGCATTTGAATCCCTACCATATGGAGTACTTAAGCGATAAAAAGGACAAATCAAGATGATTCAAAATTCATTATTACAGGAGGCCGGGAGTGGAAATAACATATGGAGAACATAGAGATTTCAGAATAAAAGTGGATCTATTAGAGTTCGATTGAGGTATGGATCTAGATGATTACATCGAATGTCTGCAGTCAAGAGAATCTTTGAGTAAAATGAAGTGTCAGAAGATAAAAGAGTGAAGTTTGCTGCTATCAAATTAAAAAGAGTTCCTTGTGTTGAACAAATTTACAGAGAAAAAAAAAAGAAAGAAGGCATTAATAAGATTATCAGGTGAGAGAAGATGAGGAAGGAGATGCCGAGAAAATATCTACCGCCTCATAACTGTCAGGATATATTTTTGAAACTCCGCATACAGCAGAAAGACCTATAAGTAAAGAAGTTTACGGCACAATTTGACTAGTTAAAGATGAAGTGCCAGTTGGCCGAACCAGAAAAACATGTGATAGTTCGCTATTAGCAACGTTGTGCAGTTGCAGCCCTAGTGGTAACTAAGATATGTCAAGAACTTAGCCTTACAAAAGGAAAGACAAGCAGGCAACAACCCTCCTTCAAACAATCACCTACAGCTGCAACTACAGCTACCAACAAGGATACACCTAGAGGAATCAGGAAGCCCAGGAAAGGAAATGACAAGACAGATCTGAAAGAAAAGAAACCCGAAAAAAGATAATTAGCCCAGTACGGGGCCCGCTAGAAGATGTTTTAGGTTTCATGGCTACAAACACAACCTCCGGCTGTCTCACGAGCTGAGTTATTTCATCACAGAGCAAGGTGTCATCGTGGAAGTCAAGGAAGTGGAAGAAGAGGAGGATCCGAAACAGAAACTTCATGTTCAGGGAGACGAGGGAGAGCTGCTAATGATAAGGAGAGTCCTACAAGCTGAGTAGAAGAGGGATGATTCATGGCTGAGGCATAGTATTTTTCCCACCAAGTGTACGGTGAAAGGAAATGTCCGCGGTCTGATTTTTTATGATGGCAGTTGAGATAATGCACTCTAAAGGTGAAGAAACTGTGGTTGGTCACACAAAAGTATCTTCAATCCTACTCCCTTACCTGGTTGAAAAAGGGAAACAAGAAATGTGTGTATCCACAGTGCTTGGTTAAGTTTTCTATTGGAGATCAGCTACAGGAATAGGTGCGGTGTGACGTGGTACCTGTGGACATTTGCCACATTTTGTTAAGCAGTTCGATCACAAGACCTAGCATGAAATGTTCTGGAATACTTATTCATTTAAGAATGGAAGACGCATAGTTATTTTGTTCATCAAGGCATGATATGTGGACATCACAGAGGAGATGGTAGTTCCAAGAGCCACCTTCAAGTAGTCAGTACAAGAGGTTCCAGTAACAATGATTTTATTCCTGCTAGAAGAAAGTGAGGTCGAGATATCGAAACCCATACAACCCTGCTAATGTGTCTTTCAAAACGTGATGACCGACAACCTTCCAGAGACATTGCCACCATTGAGTGACATTCAACACACCATAGATCTCATACCGGGATCAGTGTTGCCAAATCAACCTACCTACTAATTGAGACATGCAAAGTATAAGAAATTACAACGACATGTACAAGATCTGGTTGTGAGAAATTTGGTCAAAGAGAGTACCAGCCCGTATGTTGTACCTGCCTTGATGGTACTGAAGAAAGAAGGATTGTGGAGAATGTGCATTGGTAGTCGAGCCATACACAAGATTACTATTAAATACAGGTCGCTCATACCTTGTCTGGTTTATCTCTTGGATCAGTTACATGGAGCCCTTGTCTTTTCCTTAATCAACTTATGCAGCGAGTACCAACAAATCCAGATGAGGCTAGGGGACAGGTGGAAGACTGGTTTCAAGACACAAGATCATACGGTGGACAGTCACGCATTTTAGATTGTCTAATGCACCCAACACATTCATGATATTGATAATTTAGTTGTTCAAAGCTCACATCGGGAAGTTCGTAGGGTGTACTTCGATGATATTCCAGTATATAGCATATCTGATGAACACTTACAACACTTGAGGACGATATTCAAGGTTTTGTGATTAGAGAAATTATGCGCTCATCCAACGAAGTGTCACTTTTCGACAGCAAAAATATGTCTATTGGGCAATATTGTGTCTAGTGCAGGCATTCAGATGGACCCCCCCAAAGATCTAGGTCATTTGAGCGATGCGGCACCTTAGTTTTTTTACTACGCTAAGATAGTTTTTGGATATAGCATTTTTCTATAGGCAATTCATCAATAACTTCAGCACTATCACAGGCCCCTTGACCAAACTCTTAAAAAGAGAAATTCCAACTGACAGATGCAGCTCAAGCTAATTTCTATGCACTAAAGGAGAAGGTGACGTGAGCACCAATAATGGCATAGTAGAACTTCAATTAGTTGTTCGAGGTGGAGTGCGATGCCTCCAATGTGGGGATCAAAGTAGTACTGAGTCAGAGAGGTCACCCCATAGCATTCTTCAGTGAGAAGTTGAATGAGTCTTGTAGGAGATATTTGACATACAACACAGAGTTCTATGTGATCATGAGAGCTTTTAATCACTAGAGTCACTACCTACTAATGAGTGAGTTCATCTTATTCATGGATTGAGGCTATGAAGTTCTTAAATTGTCACAACAAACTGAAGGGCAAACATGCATCCTGGGTAGAGTTCATGGTATTGTTCCAGTTCGTGCTCAAGTATAAGGCAGGAAGCCAGATACGAGTTGGCCTGTCAAAACGGCTCGTTCGCGAACAGCTCTTGTTCGGCTCGTTAAGAAGCTCGTGTTCAGCTTGCGTTAATTTAACGAGCCGAACACAGACAAAGATTTGTTTGTTCATGTTCAGCTCGTTTTTGCTCGAAATATTACCATCAATTATATATATATATATATATATGAGTAGTAATTTTTTAAAAATTAATTGACTACAAGGTTACAAAAATTTATAATTAATTATAAATATTAATTAATAAAATTGAATAAAATTATTAAATTAGATTCAAATGAAGTTTTAATATAAACAATAATTTTTAAATCTTGTCCCAATGCTCTTAACATCTTATGGCTAAGAAATTAGGGTTGTCAAAACAACTCTTTGATCGTGAACAGCTAGTGTTCGGCTCTTTAAGAAAATGAGTCAAACACGAACACACTTGTAGAGCTCGAAATATAAACGAGTCGAACATGAGTTGAGCCTGGGCTCGCTCGTCTTCGGCTTGTTTACACCCCTAGATACAAGTAGCAGATGCACTGAGTCGTTGTCATTTGCTGATCACTTCTATGCAGATTCGGCCTTGAGGTAATAAATGCGGTGTATGGGACAAACAAAGATTTCAGAGACAACTAGAAGCAGTGAAACGAAAAGCCTACTAAGTAGTATCACAGGGTTGTTATTTATCTCTTACAGCAAAATAAATTGTGTATCCCTAGATGTTTGTTGAGAGAGTCCATTATTCAGAAGAGTAGTAGTGGAGAACATGCAAGATACTTTGGCTGGAATAAAGCTCTTGCACTCGTGAGAACACTTTTTTTAGTAGTGGAGAACATGCAAGATACTTTGGCAGGAATAAAGCTCTTGCACTCGTGAGAACACTTTTTTTGGCCCCGACAGACAAGAGATGTGGAGCAGTGCGCCAAGCAATGCAGGATTTGTCATGAGGCCAAAACTAAAGGGCAAAATGCAGGACTGCAGACTCCATTACCAGTACTGAAAGCCCCGTGAGTGGACGTTAACATGGATATTACGGTGGATCATCCGAGAACACAACAAAACAAAGATTCTGTGATGGTTGTGGTGGATAGATTCACAAAGATGACGCATTTCATATCCTGCCATCAGACGCGAGATGCATCACATGTAGTTGATTTGTGCTTTAAGGAGGTTGTGAGACTACACAAAATATCTAGAACCATCACTTTCAACAGAAATATCAAGTCTCTGAGCCACTTTTTGAAGACTTTAGGGCGGAAGCATGACACAAAAGCTTCAATTCAATTCAACAGCACATCCAGAAACGGACGACATACGGAGGTGGTGAACAGGAGTCGAGGGAACCTTCTGAGGTGCTTTGTGGGGAAAAATATTAAGATGTGGGATATAATTCTAGCCTAATTAGAAATTTCTTACAACCGATTCGTGAGTCAAACCAAGGTAGGCACCCCATTTGAGATTGTGTACGAATGCAAACCCCACACTCCACTTGACTTGGCAACACTCCTACCGAAATCAAAGATTAGTCAAGATGCTGAGGAACGAGTGCAAGAGATTCAGAAGCTAAATGAAGAGGTGGGAAAGAAGATCACCAAGCGAAACCGCAGGTACCAATCCCAGGTAAATAAGTCTAGAAAAAAGTAACTTACCAAGAATGAGACTTAGTGTGGATTCTACTCATGAAAAAAAATTTCCTTGAAATATGCATTTACATTAATATATCAAAAAGATACAAAAACTATGCATGTGTGCATCTATCATGTACACAAAACAATTATAAAAGAGAGCTCTATATCAACATCTACATGCATCAAAAGAAACGAGCCACTGGGAGCGTTCGAGAAACTCAAGCCCAAAGCAAATGAGTCCTTCAGGATGCTCCAAAAAAGCTAAACGATAATGCCTATCAGGGGATTACAATATTTCTGCTACCTTCAATATAGCGGATTTGACTTCATGCTACAAAAAATCAAAAGCTTCAACATGAGAGACTGATGCGGAGAGGTAGAAAAATTGCATACGAAATTCACCTTTAAGACTCATCGTGATCCACATATGAACTTCACCTTTAAAACTTGTCGAGATCAATAAGAGGAGGTAGAAAAATTACAAATTTACATCATCATCGTGCTTAGTTGTTCTACACTGTCACTAACATACAGCTTCAAGAGCTGAATAATTGTTTCTCTGAATCAAGTACTAGGTTACTTCTTTGTGTGATATGTTTAAATACAAGTGATTCGTTCTCTGCTTTTAATAAAGGAAAGTTCATTTGCATTGCAAAGTTATATCCTAATATTTTTTTTCTAAAATTGAGCATGTAACTCTCGATTATCAGTTATCCACTTATATTATTAACATATCCATAGTGATGATCACATCTTTAAATAGAATTGATGAACTTTCAAAATAGCTTATTAAAACTAAGAAAAATTGTGTATATCCTCTAATTTACAGATTTTTTATCTTAACATTAACTTTACTCATTGCTACTGCTGCAACTGAAAAAGCATCTTCTGCAATAAACCTTATCAAATAGCAATCGAATGGGTGTTGATTGACTCAATGACTATCTTATAACAGACATTGAGATTGATTTATTTAATTTGATTCCTGATAAAACTATTATGTAGTACTATCAAACAATACAAAATAGATTGAAAATTTTGTAATCATTTTTTAACCAATTTTTACATGGAAGATGCAGAAGCAGCCAAGCGTTCATCGTACTGAAAGTTGTATTCGTGGTATTGTTAAAGCAGTGGAGAAAGGAAAGCCGACATTTAGCAAATTCGCATAAATGTACCTTTCTTTGGTCTTGCGTGCAATATTTGTACGCATAATTTCCATCAAATTTCACTTAGAAGTCACGAAATTTAATTTTGCAAATCTGTATAAGCTGTGGCAATTAATATTAAGGAATTATAAAGAGTTTACCTCCATGGAAGATGATCAAGAAACATGTAAGGAGACACAACCATATCCTTGAAGTTCTCTCTATTTGCAACATAAGCTTTATGAGCTGCCTTCACTCCATTGGGCATACAGATCTTCCAGAGTGGAACATTTTTTGTACGCTCAGGAATTATATGAATGATCAAACCAGGAAGAAACATCTCTTTCAATTCAATAATCTTGGTAGGAATTGTAGAATTGGTGTTTTCATCATAGAAAGGTTCCATTTGGTGATCAGCAGGACCACCCCATCTTTCAGCATTGTGGGATTATAATCACCCTCATTTAGAATTCCATATTCCAAATCATCATATGTAGAGCACTTTACTGGGAGATCTTTCTTATTTTGGTCGCTCTCTGAGGTCGAAGAGAAAGTTTGCCTTGAGGAAACTGAAGGTTCTAATATGGTTCCATTTATGACACTTGAACCAGGCTGATGAATGGGAGCATTAGTCATGCAAGAAACTGCAAGGCCACACAGAAAAAACCCACCTTGAATGGAATATTTTACAGGCCTTCGATGAAGATGGTTTTGGTCTTCTACTCTGTCAGGTTTTGTTTCAATATTAGGAGAAGCTGTCGACTGGTTTTGGATTTCCCCATTAATATGGCGTTTTCGAACATTTAAAATTTTTCGAGCAAGTTTAGTAATTACAGCAGAATTGGCTGAAGCATCATCTGAGAGAGCCTGTATAGCAGCTGAACGGAGCCTAAGGATTGAATTAACTGAGAGCCGTGAAGAAAATTCATCGTTGTAGACAATTCTGCAATTTTAGAATGTCAAAAAAGTTAAAGAAATAAGAAGGAACCAATCAAACTTGAACTAGAAGTCTGACATTCAAACTTACGTTGTAACAAAATCTGAGCAAGCTTCTGCAATGACAGAATCAACGCATGGAAGAGTTCCATATGCATAAACATGTAAGTTTGGGTATCTTTCTTTCAGCTGTAACAGATCTATTGTATAATTAGAAATTTTTTAATGCACTACATTGAGTTCGTTGGATTACTTTCTCTAAGTTCTTACACAGAAAATAGTATGAAATTTAAAATATGGTACTAAGAACGTATCAAAAGTAATTGACCATATAATCATACAAGGAATTTACATAAAATTGCTTATCAAAATTATTAATAACGATGAACTGAAGTGATGCATTTCTGAAGGCCATCAGATTTTAGAGATGTCAAATCAGACAAACCCAAAGGCTAACAATGAAACTCCGAAGCAAAACAGATAACTTCTAACAAGATAGCCTTACGAAAAACTTAAGATTATTTAATAAAATTTGTTGATTAGGTAGCACCGATAGCTAAAAGATAATAGTAGAAAATCAAAGATAACAAAAAAGTAATCCAAAAACAGCAAGTAAAACTCAAGGGTGAGAAAATTGCACCTTATAATAACATCAATAAAGGATATATATATGACTATCTTCTGCAAAATTACATCATAACTTGGAGCAATGATAAAAAATGTAATGAAAATTGATTTGACTCTTTGTTCAAGCAACAAAATCCTTAACCTCAACTTGTAAGTTGAACATCAATTAAACTCAATAAAAGAAAGAAAACTACTAATCAACTGAGAATGGATGAATTGTTTTCAGTAAACTATTTATTTGCTAAAAATCACATAATCTAATGTTTGCATTCTGAAACAGAGAAATAAAAAATAAAAATGTGTTCGTTGCCATAAAGTCCATAAATGAAATAAACTTGACAAAATATAAAGAGAACCATACAAATATAATGAAGTGATTTGGACTAATCCAACAAGGATACAAACTGCAATTTTTTAATATTATAAGGTCATTGTAACAGATACATGCTTTTGGCCATAGACAATGATCACATTCAAATAATTTTGGAAGAAAAATAAAAAAGAATTATAATACCATAAAATTTCAATATGACCATTGCTGAGTTAGCATGTTTAGAATCTAAACTGCGCTTTAGGAGTTCTGTTCAGTCCAAAATTGCTCGGTGCAATCTAACTAGATCAATTGAGACGCAATGGGAGCTCGAGAAGTATGAAGTTAGGGTTTCAACGCTTAGAACCCTCAAGAGAACTATTATAAAGTAAACTAGTCAAAAGAACTAGCTTTAATACCAGGCACCAATATAGAGATACAAAGAGAGAGCATTAAAATCTTGGATTGCCTGGTAATGCACGCGATCTTGTCTCAAATCATGTGCCTAAAATTACATTATATAGCTCACGACAATTAGCAATAGTAGGGCAACTATTAATTGAGAATCATCAAACTTTGACAAGGCCTGTAGCTCAACAGAGAGTGAATTAATTGAGTTGAGAATTGGGATGAGCATTTTTTAGATGTTTCTATTTTTGAAAATGAGCTTATTGCTTTCGGTTGTAAAATTTAGAAAACCGAACTGAACAGAATATTTTATAACCTAAACCAATCTGAATTTCAGAATATAAATATTTTTAATCATGAATTTAATTATTTTTAGCTTAAATGTATTAAAAAGAAAACCCAATAATATTTGCTAAAATTTATAATTTATATGTAAAATTAATAATATCTTTATTGATTTTTATCACTTGTTGATTTATAGTTTACGAATTTTATTAATCAACATATCTACACGAATTTTTTTTTCCTCGCAGAGATAAAAATAGCACCCAAGAGGATCGATCACTTGTCTCTACTCCAAGAAAATATCAAGCCACTTACTTTCAACAAAAAACACATCAAACCATGGGATTTCTTCATCGGTCAAATTAGTGCATCAATTCTTTATGTTAACCAACAAAATAATTCATCTAAGCAGCATTGCATAAAGTACTAATCAAACACTGCATAATTATTTTGCATAACAAAATAATCCATCCCATCCGCAATAATGTAAACCTTGAATGACAATTTCTTATAAGGTAATAACCAAACCAGAACCCTACACCTTCTAAACTAATGAAACATATATGCATGCTCAATAAAGATATACCATAAATTCTTTCTTTCAAACAAATGATTTATAACTACCGTTATTAGAAAACTAGCAAAACTCATTGGTTCAAGTGTTATAACTGTGAAAGCACCTTGATCAAAGAGATTTGTATACACGTCTTCTGATTTGAGTATATCTGGCATAAAAATATTCAAGAATCGAACTATAGATAAATAAATATCAATTCATACTCCCTTTTTCTCCCCCATAAAACCATATTCAATATCCACATATAGTGCGAGATAAAAAAACAGCAAATAACACCTTCCACTTTCCATGAAATATTAAATATCAAAATAGATCCCCACATTACAATACCACAGGAAAGGGCAAACGTATTTCATAGAGGGCAGATAGTACAATGGCATAAAGAAGTTAAAAAGGAGAGAAAAAGAATGACAGAGAAGTAAAATAAGGGAGAAGAAGAATGACAGAGAAGTGAAATAAGGGAGAAGAAGATAATGGCGAGATGAGAAGAACAGAGTCGAAGTTATTGGACGAGCGGAGAAGGCGATACGAGTATTGGGGTCGCGAGGGCTCGTGAGCTAGGAAGGAGAAAATCAGGAGCACTCTCTAGTGAGCTAGGACACAATTCAGCCAAGGGTAGAAGTGGCGTACGTTTAGCAAACGATAAAACGCAGGAATCATTAAAAGTTACAAATGAACGTATTCAAAAACATAATTTGCGAACGACCAAGCCTAACACCCAAAACAAATGCATAAAAATACAGTTTGAACTAAAAACACGGTTTTAAAAGCCAAGCCAAACACATCCTTAGTCTGTAATATTTTCCGCCATAACTTTTTATAAATTCAATCCTGAAAAAAAGGATATATGATTCAGAGTTTATTAATACAATTCTCCTTAGTTCTCTCAATTAATAGGAATGCTTTTTGAAGAATTGTAAGTAGCTAAAACTCAAAAAGCAACTCATGAGGAGGTATATAATGCAGAATGACTATAAAAGAACTCAATAACATGAAAAATATGGGTACCTTAGCGCCAAGCGTAAGGACAAATTTGTCTTTTATAAACCTAAGGGCAATTTAGCCTTTTATTATTATTGTTGGGTATAAATAGACTTATTATGTCTACAATTAGATTTATGCATTGGATTGAGTTGAGAGTCTTAGGTTTAGAGTTTGGAAAGATTTCCTACCTCTCGAATTGTAAGAATTGAGAGAGATCGCCGATCTCTCGAATTGTAGGTGTTTATTCTTATATTCTAATTGAGTTGTTTGAATTATTTAAGAAATATTGTGTTAGCCTTAGTTTCTGTGGAAAAGAGTGCCGATTTTGACATCAGATAGTATCAAAGTCATATTAGATCATTCAAAATTTGGGAAATTAACCAAGTGTTGGCTGCTTAAAGAGCGACCGCTACTTCGAAGCCAACAAGATTGACTTGAGCTAGCACAAATGTCGTTGTTGGCGATACTGTAACCGGGAAATAGATATATCTTCACGAATAGAGATTGTCAATTTTTCCAGTGACTTGATGAACCGAGGGATGCAATACAGGAACGAGCTGACGAAAAAGATATGCAGTTCATGATACGGAGAAAAATGATGACAAAGACTTGAAGTTTCTTGTGAAGACTTTACTTTTATTTGATTTTGTAATTGTAACATTGCTTCTATTATTGTTATCGTTGAATATTTTTTTATTATGTTTATGTATTATAGATAATAAACTGTACTGTATTAGGTTTTTTATTTTGTAAGCAAAATTATCTTTTTGACTGAGATGATGTAAATTCAGAATTTCATACTTTAATTAAGCAACCCAACAACTGGGACGGTTTGATCTATCACAATCTCTTGTTATGTTGCTGTTGGAAGGCATAATTTGATGATTTTTTATTATTCGGTTAATGTTCACCTTAGTTTGCACTATGTGTTGTGAGTGAAAATGACTTAATAAACTGTCATTGGATTTGCTTCACATGAAGAACTGCCAGAACTATTTTTCAAATAGTTTAAACTAAACTGTTATATACTTTAGGAAATTGTAGTCATTATGTCAACATGCAGCACTTTCAGAATTGTACTTTTCAACCAGACCAACTGCTTCTAACACATCAGTTTTTGAACAATAGATTTTCAACAAAATTTTTAGAAATCAGCTTTTATACAGCCAAAGCCAAAACAAATGCACCCTAAAAGCCGCACATTTTCACAATGAATTATCTGAAAACAAAGCATTTGACATTAAGAAACTTTTACCATGAACAGAAAAAAGGCTATATTACCATCAAGTAAGAAAAATACTTCAAATTGTTTAACGCATAAATGATTTAATGTTGAAGAAGACGAAAAGACTTACCCTCAATCCTAACAATGTAGCAACAGCACCTCCTAATGAATGCCCAACCAAACGAACTTTATACCCTTCACATTCACAACCAGTCCCCAGCAATGAGGAAAGAAACCCAGATGTTTGAGACGAGTCTTCAATATGAGCATACAAACCAAGTTAGAGAACCACAAGCTTCTGATTAATATTATTAAAAGGTGAACATAAATTGAGAATCAAACTACAGTAGATTGAAACATTCTTTTTTTTTCGTTGTGGTGCGCAGAGGTAAACATAAATCTAGTGGAAACAATTTCCAATTGTTTTTTTATTGGCTAGAAAGTAGAATTCATGTCCAATGTTCGTTTTCTGGCGGATAAGAATCCGTCGGGCAAGAATACTAAACTATGGACAAATTTCAACTGGTATTTTTCAAATCTTTTTGCCAGAGGATTGATATTTCCCTGTAGTGTGAAATTTCAAAAAAAATTCCAAATCTAATAAAAGTTGTTTTTAAAATGTGAACCAAATTGAAGCGCCTTTATGCTTTAAGAAACTGTGAGGAAATTATCCCTATATTATTCTTCTTACTTGTACAAGTCGAAAGTTCAAATCATCAATGAAATGCATTTATTTAAATCACCTTCCATTGCTTTCTGACACTTGCATCAAACAAATTAGCCTAAATAGAAAGTACATTAAAGTATCCCTTCTGTGGAATGTATAAATTTATGCCCACATTTGTATACATCGGTTTATGTTTATCTATTGATTATTTTGGGTATGCATTGGTGGATTTAGAGGGGGGCAGTGGGGCTCTTAATATACATAATAAATATAAAATTATCTAAATAACCCTGTTTATTTATTATTTATAATTATCATTTATGTATGCATTTATTTTTTTGTTACTCATAATAAATAGTTCAAGTTATTTTATTTTTTTAATTTAATCTTAAATTTATTTATAGGATAAATAATTTTAAAAAAACATGTATACATAACTCAAATTATTAAATTATAATAAAAAATTGAGAGTAATTGTAAATAGCTGGATTATGCCCCCCTCAAAAAAAAAAAAAAAAGAAGAAAAAACCCTCCACGCCCCGCCATTGGGTGAAGCTCCGCCATTGTGTGAAGAGAGCTCAACATTTAGTAAAAGGCAACTTAAGCATAGGAGAGGCACCTGTCAATTATAAAAAAGGCATCTTATAAGTACCACCCAATTACTATATATTTACATAACTAACATCTACAATTTACATTTTAAAATTTATACCACCCAGATCTTTCATATCACATAAGAAATACCACCATTAACTTCTAAAAAGTGAAATACACATTTTTGTGGATAGATAAGGTGACGACAACAACAACAACAACAACAAAGCCTTATTCCCACTATGTGGGGCTGGCTACATGAATCCTTTTTCATCATTGCGTCCTATTTAGTGTCGCATTTTCATTTAATAAATTAAAGTAAAATTAAAGTTTAGGAGTAAACATGTAAATACATAAGAAATGAGTGGAATGTACGTAAATCTTCCATTATAAAATCAGACTGATCAAAACTTAATGCTAATGCTAACCTCCCGGCGGACAATCAACTTGCATGTAAAGCTCACGAGAAGATTCGACTATCCCGGAATGACCATAATGTGGGGAAGAAGAGGCAACAGTTTCCCTCACACTTGAAAGCAATTGATCACAGCTACAAATGGAAAGTTTGTTAATTGATAACTCACAAACTATAAACTCTATGTTTGAAAGCACTTCCAAGAAAGATTATATTTTATCTAGCCAATAATGAACTTGAGAAACCAAAACTAGTTATTTAATAAATGATAAATGAGCCATGAAAACAATAAACATATTAAAAAGTTCAAGCTCCCAAAGTTGATAGCAGCATACAAGATGGGGGGAGAGAGAGAGAGAGAGAGAGAGAGAGGGATACTTTATCAGGCCATTTAAGTCCTCTTCAGAAAGAATGCACTCCCCACATAAACCATCAGTAATAAGGTCTTCAGGAGTCTCTGTACCACGTATGGCAATCACCACTGAATGTAGCTCATGGATAACCACAATGAAATATGCTGCCTCGCGTTTTTTCTAAAAAAAGTTGTGTTAGAGAAATTTCAGAAAAAAAAAACATAATTCATATTTTGTTGCTAGATCTTGTTGAATAACAAGCTTTATAAAGTTCAAGAAATAAAGAGAGAATATATATATATATATCTATATATATATATATAT